CTTATGGTAATTTCCAGTCATCATAAGGTGACTGAGAGAGATGAGCTGGAGAGGAAAAAAATTGTCAAGCATTTACAGTAAATACTCCCTGCTTTTGGAAACGCTGTCAGAAGTTTAATTGTTGGGTTCAAGTGAGTTTGTCACACGCCAGACAGAAGCAGTCTGCTGCGAGGAGCGGGTCGTGCCCTCCCACCAGGCAAAAGGGAGAGTGCGAAGTGGGGCTTTGCAGGGCTGCGTCACCTGGCGCTGCAGAAGGGATGGGGCAGGCGGCTGAACCCAGCCTGTAATGAGGTTCTGCACGGCGTGCATGGCTGCGCTTGCTTTGCCAAAGCTCTTCAGTATGATGGATGAGATTTAAAGGTTGATCTGCCTAAATTGCAATGAGAATACTAACGACTGAGATATTTCTGTTGTGAACTATTCCTACCAGACATCACAGCCGTGACAGAAATGGTGTAAGATAATGGACAATAAAAGTCACTCGGAAATAATACTCTCTCAGGACTGGGCTGCCTTCAGTACAGCACGTACCCTGAACTGCAGCGATAATGTAATCATGAGCCAAGATCATCATTTAAATATATAGGTAATCTCATACAGCATCTTGACAGATTTATTTTATGAGCAGGCAAGAGAGAGAATGTTATTGGGCAGTGGAGAGGAGGAAGCACTGCTGGTGCGGCTGTGCTGGTGGGACAGCAAACCCTGCAGCTCTGCCCCCAGGGACCTGGAACCCACAGCCAGGCCTGCCCTGCAGCGTGGGCCCTGCCTTCCTGCCCCTGCGGGGGTCGGGGCAGCAGCCTCTGGGCTGCGGTTTAATGCCCATGGGTGGCTGGGATGATGTGAGGACGTGTGTCTGATTGTGCTTTACACTGGGTACCCAGATAGAGCTGTGTGGGGACTGGGAGAGGGAGGTGTGGGGGAGCAGCTGGGTGGAAAAGCACGTACATGTGTGCATAGCTGTGTACATCTGTCGTGATACTGGTGGGTGTTGCAGCAGGTCGGAGGTGCACACAGCCCCGGGACATCCCAAGAAGGGTGCAGCTCTGCTGGGAGAAGCAAAGCAGCTCTCAGTGAGCTCAGGTACATTTTCTCGAAGATGAATTTGTTGCAGGTTGGGTTCTGGTCCAGCTGGGAGCCTTTCTCTTCCTTCCGTTATTGTCAGAAGCTGTTTGTTCCCAGTGCTTCAGGTGCAGACAGACTGTCCCCACCATTGACATCTCTGCAAATATTGACACAGGCCGCACATTCAGCAGTGTAGGACCTGCCCCTTTGTGGTCACAATGTGTTGCACAGCTAGTGCCAGTATTTCAGCAGCGGGGAATTCTGGTGTGTTTTGTGTTGACAAGAGTTCCCTCTGATTTTGGTACTGTTGTGTTGGCAAAAAAGGAAGCATTCTCGCTTCTGGAAAGGATCTTGTCATTGAAGAAATAAACTAGATCACATGAAACCCAGAGCCGAGGTATAAACAACTATTTTCCTCAAGAGAAGAGGCTGCTAAAATCTCGCTGTTCCTTTTTTAACCTCCTTCCAACTTTTCAAAGAATAACAGGGACACCTCATCACCAGCCGATGGCAGCCTGGGTTGCATTGTTGTTGCACGCTGTCTCCTGGCTGCAGGTAACGGCTCACAGGTGAGACCTGTGCACTCCCTGGGCCATGTGCTTTCCTTGGGGAAGTCATCCAGCTCCATGGCTTTTGGTGTGCTGTGCCTCCTTCAAGTACTTGTATGAGTTGCAAGGAAATGTGTCGTGCTAATTGTTGGAATCCACGGGATAACAGAATGCACAGGTTGTGTGACATGGCTCTCCAAAAGGATTGTGCCGTGCGCTGTGTGCACCTCTTTGGACGTCACAAAGGGCCCTGCGGTGCCGACCTCGCGAGGATCCCAGCCACCTCCACATGCTGCCAGCTGCCCAGAATAGCCGGGCTGCTGCTCGGGAGGACACGCTGTCCCGTAGGTGTCAGCGGGCTGCTGTCATGTGAGCTGTGTGTATCTCTTTTCAGAGCTGATATTTGGTTCTTACTGCTTCCTTTGCTTCCAGCTGCAGCGCCTTAAACAAACAGTGATCAAACCCAGACTCTCCAGCTGATGAATTTGTGCTGCCATGAGATGCTGACTGCCTTTCCTTGGCTCAGCCCTCGCAGTGACACTGTCTGGAGTTTCCTGTGGCAGCCGGAAAGTTTGGGCTCCCCAGGAACGCCCCGGATGTGTGTCAGATCAGGTGGTGGTTCCTCACAATCGGAAGTGTCCACCTGCACTCTTTGAGCTCCAGTCCCATCCTGAGGCAGGACACAGATCCCATGTTGGGTCAGTGTGAGGCTGCGGATGCTTCCTGGCATGGCATGGACGTGCCTTTTGGTTTTGAGACTGCAAATTCCTGAATCCCTTTGGAGATGGGTGATAAGAAGGGCAGCTGCCCGAGCTCCAGGTGCACTGCAGCATTCTCTGCCTACAGCCTCAGATGAGAAAGAGCTGCATGTTGCATTCTGCCTTCAAGGAAATGACATTTCTTAAAATAACTAATAATAAAATAATTAGGATAGTTCTGGCAGTGTAACAGAGTAGCAGTTTCATAGGACATTTTAATATTGATATTGAGACACGTTTTTCATTTTTAAGTATTCACCTTTGCTGCTAATAAATCATCAGATACCTGAAACTAAAGGAAAACTAAAGTTGGACTTCATTGTGCTGATAGCAGCCATCCTGCTTGCAGCAGAGCTGCAGAGCACTGCCTTGAGAAGCGCTTTTCCCCAAGGGCAGCTCCTGCAGCAGCTGTCCCTGCGGCCGTGTGCGTCTGTTTGCTGCAGCTCACAGGAGCTGCTGCTGGCCGGGTCTGGCACGGCTACTTCAGGCACTGCTGACAACTGTGAGAAGAGCTGAGCCTGACTTGCTGCAGAAATTCTTCTGCATCGTATTTTCTCTCTCCCCGTTCACCCCCCTCCCCCAAATATTTAAAATACCTTTGCATTTTAAATTAAGAATTAGTCATTGCTCAGATGCCAGGCGTGCACTATTAATACACTAATGAGATCAGGTTGTGCTCTTGCTGAGTGAATGCTTGCCAAAACTCTTCAAAGTTCTGAAAATGCTGGAGCTGCTGTTAAACATTGCCTTGTCAGTGCTAGGGACAGCAGCAATGCAGCTCTAAAATGGATCTCCCCCAGAACGTGTGTGGATGATGAATATTTAGCTAGGAACAGCATTCCTTAGTCACACAGAAAATCTAGAGCATCCTATTGGATGGGAAAGGAGATCAGCGTGGTTGCTGTGCATGTGCTGTATATGTGGGGAGTGCATTTCTTGGCTGTGTTGCTCCCAGGCCGGCTCCTCTCCCTGCTGCAGGAGCAGCACAGTGCACACTGGAAGTGCCCCTGCTTAGCGGGGAGCCCAGCCGGGCTGCGTCCCAGGGTGGGCTTGGGTTGGGTGGCACCGAAGGCTTTGTTCTCTGAAGCAGCACTGCCCAGTGAGGTCACAGTGCCACGTGGCATCAAAACCTGCAGCTGCACTGGAGCTGGTTGTGGCATCCTTCTTGAACCTCCCATCCAAGCGCTTGCCTGTTCCTGTTACCTGCAGGCTTCTGCTCTCTTTTATAATACAGCTCAGAATACACGCAGTGTTGTCTTGCTGAGGAATAACTTGCTCTGATGGAGGTGCAGGATGCGATGCCGGGGGGTTTGTGTGAGGTGCTGGATTTCACAGCTCTCTGCTGTGCTGTGTGCAGCATGAATGAGGTTACGTTTCAATTTGTGTCGTGACTCTGAACTCCACAAATGAGATCTTTGTGCTTAAAATGGAGAGGCTGCTGGATTGGTCTCCATCAGGTATGAAGGGTGATGTCAGAGTGAAGTTGGTGAAACTGTCTTTTTGTCGAGATGCCTCCTCACTGTTGATGAGCTTACTTTAAGATCTCCGCCTGATAGTTTTGGGGGATTCTTTTCTCCCTGCTGTGGCCTTTTGCTGGGTAATGTGGCTGTAATGCAGAGCAAAGGCTCCAGTTCCCATGTCCTCAGCAGTGGCCTTCTCATGCTTTCAGATGTGGTTTTATGGAGCGTGCACTTGTGCTCGAGCACTGTCTGGCTCTGAGTAGCTCTTGGGCATTGTTTTGCTCTTCCAAATGATTTGAGGTGTGTCATCTCCCATATCTCTCTGTTGAGTCTATAACAAAATAGATAGTAACTGTGATTCCTGGCTTACCAAGTGCATGAGAATCGTAAGGGAAGTTTTGGGTATTCTGTGTTTGAATGTATTACCATCTCTGGAAGAACACACAGAAATTCATGTTGAATGTAAGATACAAAGTATTGCAGGACACTAGAAGATACAGATCCTAAAACAGCACTTAACAAACGTGATGTAGGGGAGAGCTTGCCTTCTCCTTGCCCTATGCATACCTCATTGATTGCGCATGCCTCAGATTTTCAAAGAGCTTTAAATGCCTTAGAAGTAAGCAATGTATGTCTGTTTGGAAATTTTCCGGGGCTGGGTACCACTGTGCTTCAGCACAGGGAATGTTCTGCTGGCTTATAGCTTGCTCTGCTGGTTTGTAAGGACTGCTCTGGTGCTCCAGAACCAGCTGGAAGCTGGCACACTGCATCCACTGTGAGTTCCTGATGCCTAGCAAAGGTGTCCGCAGAAGTGACACTCACTGCTGTTAGATTTCATATTTAAGTCTTTTGTGGTGTACCAGAGAGTGAATAAACTGCTGTATTTCTTATTATGAAGTTACACCCATAGTGTTTGTGATGAAGCTGTTCTTGCCCTGCACCCTCAGGAGCACTGGCACAGCTTGCCCTGGTGCTGTGCTCCCTCCTGTCTGCTTGCATGCAGACATGCTTGCGCGCGGGTTCGTCCTCTCCTGGCAGCTGCTGCTCAGGGGCAGTTGGCTCTGCTTTGCTCTGCTTTGGGGAATTACACGCATTAGAGGAGGGAGGCAGCGGATGGACGGTGTCCCAGTGCACATTCCTGGTGTGCTGATGGCTCTCTCTGCTCACAGCCCGCAGGTCCAGCAGCGCTTGGCATGTGGGCATGGAGGGGCAGCATGAGCACCCGCAGCACCTGGGGGACCAGACCAGCGCGCTCTGCAAGCTGCCAGGCCAGGACTTCCAGCACGACCCGCAGGTGAGCACAGCCAGCCCTCGCCTTCCTTTCTCTGCCCTTTGTGCCCTTCTCTGCTCAGAACCTTTGTGGTTCTGAACGCTGTGGCGCTTTTCCCCTTCTCTGTTTATAGGCCAGGCATATCCAGTTTGAAATGCTGCCAGCCAGCCAGTTTCCTGAATCCGATTTTTGATGATGATAAGAGAAAAAGGAAACATTTTAAATTTTGCTTACAGCAAGTATTTTTAAAACAGCCTGTAAATACATGTATTGCGTTGGCTTTCTCTGTGATTCTTTAAAGAAAAGGACAAAGAAAAGCATGTTTGAATGTAAACAAATAATATTTTATTTCCTTGCATACTTTCATAATAAATGCTGAAGAAGTAGTTACAAAATACCAGACAGAGTTCATTCTGTGTGAAGCTGTAGGCTCTGTGTCTCTGTATTGAGTTTTTTTGGGAGGTTTCTACCCCAATGTGTTGGGTGGATTCTGTTCCCACCCTGCCTGGCAGTGGTTCCCCTGCTCTCCCCTCCCTTCCTGCAGCACTGGGGCAGAGAGCCCCAACCTGTATCCAGCAGTGAGGCTTTTCATGGGATCACGAGGTCTGTATTTTCTGCATTTTTTTAGACCACAAAGCTATTTTTTAGAGCAGAGTAGTTAGAAAGCAGAAGCTGATAGCAGAGCATTGGAGCTGTGGCGTGGAGCCGTGCTGAGGAGGGCACGTGGGTGCTGCTTGGGTGCTCTGGCCGTGCAGCCAGCAGTGCTGGTGGCTCCTGGGGCAAGGAAGGGTTGTTCAGAAAGCTGCGTCTGTGCCCAGCAATGTGTCTGTGCAATGACGATGAGTTGCCTGCACGTACAGCATGGCAGTGAATGCATCTTACGCAGCACTGCTTGGAAAATACATCGTATGGAGCAAAGCCCCCCTCTCCTAATGCAGCAATTTGTCATATTAAGTCACTTAATAATAATTGAATCCCCTTGATTAATCTCCTAGAATTAGCCAGTTGCATTTTGAGCAATTAGGGTTAATTACTGCCTCATTTGGCAGGATAGAGCCCCTGTAATTATTTCATGAACAAGATTAGGAAGTGTTCCTGTGTAGCAGATACGTTCATGGCATCTTGGAGCACATGTTAGAATTTGTAATGACATAGTTAAATGTAATTAGTAGCTAGTAATCTGCGTGCTGCTGTTGTGCTGATGCTGAGTGGGCTCATTTTGCTGCGTGGTCTCCATGCGGTGAAACCTCCCCTCAAGGCTCTGAGCAGCCAGGCTGTGGTGGTGGGACTCTTGCAGTAAATTGTCTGTCTGGAGAAGGATTAGAACTTTAGGGAGACATGCTTAGATGTTTTTGTTCGTTTGTTTTAAAAGAAGCAGTAAGCATGGTTTAGAAGTGAACACACGTTGTCATGCTCACAGGGCAGAACCCTCTGCTGATGGCATAAGATGGCCTCTCATGTGCCGTCCAGCAGCAGAGGCTCTTTGGTTTTTCCAAATTGCTTTGCTTATTCCCACGTTAGTATGAATTTCTCTCTTTCCTTGTCATGAACTACTACAAATAGCTGTCGATAGAGATGGTAAAAGTTTGAAATTCAAGCCAAGTTCGTCAGCAAACTTTAACTTGTAGGTAACATTTCAGGTGAAGGATACCTCATGCTGTAGTGCAGTCTGGTTTTGAAGCCACGGAATGCAAAATCTGATGTATTCTTCAGTAATTACTTGACTGCCTGCTTGAAGGATAATCCATATTTTAGAAGTTTCCTCATCTCTTGTGAGCTCAGAAGTTCTTTTTTTTAATCAATCTGCTCTAAAGTGTTCTCATAAATTCACACTGGAATTTCAACCTCAAAGTATACGAAATTCTTTTCAGGTAAGCGTTGCTGAGCGGATCTGGGGCTACAATTTGGGGCATCGTAAAGAGGCTCTGAAATGCTGATGCTGATAGTAAATCATTGCCTATAATGTATGTGTGTTCAGCTGTAGGGGCTAAAGCTTCTCCATCTCCTATCACAGATGTCTTTTAAAGGTGAAATTAGTTTATGGTAAATGTCATTCAGATGAAGTATGCGCTTTAGAAGCAAGGAAACAGTTGCTTTAAAATTAATGATGCATTGCAAATATCAGAAAAAAAAACTTATATCCAGCGTAAAGATAATTAAAATTCAGGTCAGAACTATATGACTTCGTCAGGCTAAATTTTTTAATGAGATTTCAGAAAATTAATTGGGCGAGTATGTTTTTTACTCTTCTAAAGAGTATTTCATTGCATGTCTCTACAGGAAAGAAGCTTTTATTAGTATCGAAAGGCAGTAGTGTCTGACTTTTAACTGTTGATTAACCAGTCCTTAACAATTTTTTAGCTTGATTAAAAATAATGTAAGGCTGGTGCAGCCTCGTAGCACCTGTGCAGACTGCTGAGCAGTTTTCCACACGGCAGTCAGAATGCAGCACAACAACTGAACGTGTCATTAATTGGTGTTAATGCGTGGCTTTTACTCAAGCACGGGGCGGTGGCCGTTCCCACGTACTTCTGGGCTGGTGTTCTCTTCCACCCCTCCAGGAGCAGCAGTCCCTCAGGTGCTGCTCTGCAGCATGCTGACATTCTGCTGACTTTGTCTTGGTTCCATCTCACCTCTTGCTGTGCTTTGCAAGGCTTGCTGTGCTTTGCAAGGCTCTCAGGACTGCTCTGATTTCCCCCAGTGTTCAAATAATAACAGAGAGGTAAATTTATTGGTCTCATGTTCACAAGAGCAGAGGGGCTGCAGCTCTGCTCTGTTCTCTATGCCTTTGAGTGAGGAGAGCCAGGTAAGTCTCCGAGCATCTCTGCGTATCGGTACTTCTCTTGGAAGGGAAGCAAAGCCTCTCACCAGGGAAAACAGCCCAGGAGGTTGGCTGGTGTCACTGCAACAGGCAGCCCTGAGAATCTGAAAGCAGGAGTAGAAACTGCGTCCTATCAAAGAAAAGCACGTTGAGAGTAAGGATTGTTTCTTTTGATGCTGTTCTCTGCAGTTGCCTGTGTGTCTTCATAATCTGGTAGGTAGGGACTCCCATTTGCCTTTCATTAATTTCTTGCCACTTTGGTGTGTCTTTTTCAGGGTGTGCAAGATAAAACGGCTGAAGTCTTTATTGCATTGTTTTGTTTTTTCTATTACCAAGCCTTACTGATGCTGCTTTGCAGAAAAAAGCTCAGAGGCTGAAAGTTGAGGCAGACGTCGCCCTGAAGTGTTTGCAGAGGGCTGTTGCCCCATAACTTCGGGGGCTTCAAAATTCTTGCTTTTGCATCATTGATTACATGTAAAAGAGAGCGTGTACGCTGGAGATGTAGTCCAGAATAGCTTGTTCTAGGAGTGATCTCTGCATTTTTTCTGAAAAATGAATAGCCTCTTTATTTGAATGAGGAATTAATTGACTCTAATCTTTGGCTTTTTTTTTTTTAATGGAGTTCTAGAGAAATGAGACTTCATTGTGTGGATAAAGAGAACGGCCTTTGTCTCAGAATGTGCTCTTCCCAGCCTGTCCCCTTCCTCCAGCTGCCCCAACAGGAACATGCAAACAGCCACGTTTCTCAATGTCTTTACAGTTCTGGGGCTTTGCTTTTCAGGGCTTTTTCTTTTTTTTCTTTTCCTTTTTTTTTTTTGAGCTCTATCATCAGCCTCGATGGCTTGTGGTGCTCCACTATTCAGACAGACAGGAACACCTCCCTGAGCCTGAATTTGTCTGAAAATGAGAAAATCTAGCTTTGACAGAGAGGTCTGGAGACAATGGTGTTATCCAATTGTACATCCAGTTTGTGTATGGAACCTCTTAGATTTGCAGAAGTAAAGGTCAGGATTTATTTGAGCCAGGAGGTGTTGGTTCTTTGACTGGGGCTCTTTATAGAAAGTTGTAGTGGCTCAGACTAGGGGAAATAGTGAGACCCCTCTGTCAGAAGTCATGACAGAAGTGCTGTGTGTTTAAGGCCAGATTCAAGGGTGAAGCTCTGAGGCGGTCGGTGTTTCTCAGGTGTGCTGGACGTGTAACACAATGCAGGTTACCTGCTTAGATCAAAGTGCAGAAAGCACAGGAGGAGTTGAGATAGCCATGGGAAAGCGGCGCCGCCCTGGGCCGGAGGGAGCTCTGCTGCAGCCTGGCCGAGCCGAGCATGCTCTCTGCTTTGTGCTGCGATCAAACATCTTCCAGCCTGGATGAGAGCTCCATTACTTTAATTAGGTCTGATAGGTTGTGATAGCGAATGCAAATCTAGGTCATTGCATATGTAAATGTGCAGCTGTAGTCCTGGAGGATGCCAGAACATATCAGCTGAGGTGTCCAGTCGTCACCCAGCATTAACTCCAGCGTGGCAAGCAGACTTCAGCTGTTCACCATGGCAAGTGGTGGGGACACACACATCCTGTCACTTGACTAACATTTATTTACATTTTCAAGTTAAGGAGTTGCTAGATATTTCTTGGCACATGCTTAAAATACTAATTTGCACTTAGGCACTGTAGATGTAAACACTCAATTTAGTGAAAGGCAAACAGGTACCATCCCTGATCCTAGTATGAATTTCTTTCATAAGAGAAAATTTTGTTGTAGCTGCTTCATAAAGTCTCATTAGAAGTGTTGTCTTTATTCCTCCCAGGCAGGAATCTCCAACTTTCACAGTACTCGAGGGGAGCTGTGTGGAGGCTGAGGGGCAGTGGAGCTGTGCAGGGCACGGGGGGCTGAGCTGTGTCTGGGGAGGGGAGCACTGAACAGTTCCAATGAGATGCTGGAATGAGCTGCTCATTTCTGTGCGAGCAGCCTTGATGCATAACTGCAAAGTAAGCTCTTATCATACTGTCCTCTGCCTGGAGAAACGAAAACCATTTCTCATGGTATCAAAGTACTGAAATGCTCGTTGTGTTAGATGGAAAAATGTACCTGTGGCGTTGGTGTTTCAGAAAGGATTACTCAGAGTGTCATTTCATGTGAAGAGGAGTGGTTTTGCTCTTTTAGGGGAGTTAAACTGAGAAAGCTGCTGCTGATGGCCTGGAGATAAATATCCAATTATGTGCCTGCTTTAATTAGCAGGCATTGCATGGACATTAGGGTAGTGTGTTGTTGTGTTCTCTGGAGCCCTAAGTCTGGTACAAGGAATGCATCCTGTAAGACATCCTTATGCTGGTTGTGCAGCACTGGTAGAAGTTGCTGGGCTGGCAGCTGTACCTGTGCTGGTTCTGTTCCCACCTGCACCCCTCTGGGCCGCGAGGTTACAGCAGCTGCATTCTGCTGCGGCTGGCTCTGCCTGGGCATGGGGCTGGGGCTGGCTGCTGAAGATGTGACTTGTTTTAAATCCAACAGAGACATTTAACGTCGTACCCGTATCGCTGCACACTGGCAGACTTTCAGATAGAGAAGAAGATCGGGCGAGGACAGTTCAGTGAAGTTTACAAAGCAACTTGTCTTCTGGACAGAAAACCTGTGGCGTTAAAGAAAGTTCAGGTGAGCACTGGAATTCAGTCTTTCTGTGTAGTGAACAGAAAGGCACTGTTTCTCCCGCTGCTTGGAATGTTACCTACAGCTTCTAAGGTTAGTTTACCTTATTGTTAGCCCTTTGGTGGCTTCAAATAAAGAAAACGTTCGTCTTTGGTCTGTGGGCTGCATGTGTGTATGCTCATTGCAGTAGATGCTGTACAAAGGCAGGAAGCAAAGACCAGTTCCTTGTTGAATAAATTCTTGGATTTTGTCACCATCTCACTTTGATCTTCTGCTTTTTTGTCTTTGAAGATTTTTGAAATGATGGATGCCAAGGCTAGGCAAGATTGCATTAAAGAGATTGACCTCTTGAAGGTAAGAATTTTATTTTTCGATTTGTGTGTTTTGAGGAAAAACACCAGCTGATGACATTTTTTGTTGTTTGTTTGCACAATATCTTGGAGAAGAACAGACAACGCTCCAAAAAATTTGTTTAGTTAGGGTGAAGGGGAAGTGCAGGGATATTTACTGACAGTCTGCATACATCGTAGTATCTTGTTTAATATGCAAATCATTACTGTGCAGGTTGTTTAATTATTTTCTGTTGTTGAAGGGAAATGAATCTTCATAGCTATCGCCGCTCAGACCTAAGCATTGTTAGAGGTTGTGTGGGGTAAACCAGAGGCTGGAATGCAGGCAGAGAGAAGTGCCAGCATGGCAGGAGGGGCGCAGGCTGCCGTCGCTGTCACTGCTGTGGTGGTTTGATGCGCTCTGTTGGCTCGTGCTGCTGAGGGCTCTAGCTAGGTTTGTTGGATTGCATGAACTCCGTGATGCCTCCGGGAGCTCAGCAGAGTTTTCCCATCAAAAAGTCCTACAGAAGGCAGAAAGGAGCTCTCAAATCAGAGGCTTAGCTTTACTACAAGAGCAGTGTGCAGCGCTCTGCCATCGGCCGTGCCCTGAGAGCTGGTTTGATGGACGCGAGGCGTCCTGACGCACGTTGGGTGTCAGTACCTGTTCTGCTCGAGGCTTTGCTGCTCTCTTGCCTGGAATCTGATCTTAGGCTGATGTATCTGAGCGCAGACACATGAGAGAAATTGCCCAGAGACCATGGGCTCTGCGATTTCTTTATCTATCCATGTCTCTGTCTGGTGGGAATGCTCCTCTCCTGATGCCTGCACATGGATCCCATTAGTGCTAATGTGCGCCAGTGTCGAGGCATCGCGGAGGAGAATCTATCCCTAATGTGCATGCAGAGAGCCTGATTAGCATGATGGATTGTAACAGTGTTTCTTTTGGCTTTGTAACCCCTGAAATGGGCAGGTTGAGTCACAGCTGTTTAGTAGATGAAATGCTCACTTCAGTAGTTTCTGAATTTACTGCGTATCTAAGAGCTTGAGTGAAAGAAAATGTAATGCAAAATGAGCAAGAGGGAATGAGGAGAGAAATCTGAGTTCTCCATTTTCTCCTAAGAAATCACAGGTTTCCATTTTAAGAAATTCAGATATAAAATAGTAAGATAAATTTTAATTTGAGCAAGTTTCTTAATTTAGGTCTGCAAGTAAATTAACAGTCAGAGCAGATGCACATTTTTAAGGAACATTAATGGTAAAAAGATACCATGAGAAAAAAGCCTATTCTTAAATAAAAGTAAGAAACAAATATGTAAGCATAAATAATGGCAAAAGTAGGCCAATGTACTGCAAGCAATTTGCACGTTATTTTACTTCCATCAGATTTTAGTTGAATTCTACTTTTGTTTTTAGAAAGCAGTGCTGTAATCAGTTGATTCTGTGGTTCTGTTGGGTTATTTTATGTCTGGTGTCACTGCTTACCAAGTTTCTCTCAGAACGCTGCTTTAAAAATGTGTTTGCAAGAGGAAAAGCAGCTTCACCTCCTTCTGGGCCGTGTTGCTCTCCAAACACACTTTATTATGCCGTGCTTTTGATAAATGAATTTCTCTCACGTACTTTTTACTGGGATAACCCAGAGCATGGTTTGTAGTTTCATCTGTTCCAACTGCTTTGCATAACGATTACAAAAATGATGCAGGTTGTGCATCTTTGAGTTGTTACTGCGCTGTTATTCATCTTCTTGCACTCCCTCTGTCTACAGCAACTGAACCACCCCAATATAATTAAATATTTGGATTCTTTCATTGAAGACAATGAACTTAACATTGTCCTGGAGCTGGCAGATGCTGGTGATCTCTCCCAGATGATAAAGGTAAGGAGCTGTTGATTCTGAGGGGCTGCGGGCACTCAGCCATTGGGCCAGGAGGCAGCTGTGTGCTGGTGCTCCTTGGGTTTGCTCACCTGGAGGACGGTGGCAGGACCTGGGTGGATCAACTGTAGGGGTTGGAAGACGCCTCTGGAGGTCCCCAGTCCAACCCTTCCCAATGCAGAGGCTGCAGAGTGGGGTGGTGAGTGCCTGCTGTTCCTTACGGCATTGATCTGTCCCGTTTCTGATTGACGGGGACACTTGATTCTTGTTGGATTTGGTGTTCAGGTAGCATGTCTGCCACTCTGAAGACATTCGAGGCAGTGTATTGACTTTCCTCGCAGCAGGGATTTAGGTTTGAGAAAATGTTTCAAGTTCTTGCTCTTCTCTTATGTTGCTCTCAGGAATACTTGTATCGCTGCAAACCAGCTTTAGTTAAGCTGTTACCACCTGCTTTTATATTTTCTTTGACATGTTAATCTTTAGACATACATCCCTTGTGAGAACAGATGTGTTATATCATGTTTGTTAGCACTCTCAACCTTCTCTCAGTGTTTTACCTGTTTTTTTGCCATCATTATTCTGTAATTATCATAAATGAATGTTTGGAAAGTTCTCCTCCTCCTTGTTGTCACAGTTAAAATATCTTATTAACAGATTTGTTTTCTTTGCCAGCAGAGCTATGAGGCACTAGGCCAAAGGCTGTCAAACAAGTTACACGTTGAGTCCACAGTCAGTGGCTAGATTTACACTTCCCATGAAAATGTGCTCCGTCTCAGGGAAGTGCCTGGGGTGTGAGTGTGCTGGGCTGGGCCACGGCAGGGCAGACCCAGAGCCTCCTGTCATTCCTTGCTGAGAGCTGAGAGCCTCACCTGCAGTTACCTGCAGCCAAGAGTGGAGCTTTATGAGGAATTCCAGATACCAGGTTGGGGCAGATCCCAGCACCAAGCTCCTCCCATGCTGACCTTTCCTCTTTTCCCAACTGCTCTTAGGAAACCTGCAATTTGCCAAGGACTTCGGTAGCAGGTGGGGCTGTGAGGGCAGAGTTAGGGCTGCTGTCTCCCTGGGCCTTGCAGGTGTTTGTCTTGTTTTAAAATCTTAGCTTACAAGAAGTTTTACCGACATAATTGTCAGAAATCATCGTGGGAAATACTTGCTTCCCCCCAAAGTTCAGCTGTTAGTTTAAAACCTTTCTTACTGATGAATACATTTTTTCATCTGTCAGAATTGGCTGTTTAATTATCATAAAATTATTTTTATGTCATATATAGATGTGTTTTGTATCTGGAAGCAGCGTAGCACACGTTCTCTCTGCCAGGGCTCCTGGTCCGGTCTGTTCTCCCACTCCTTTGTCACACGAGTGGGGAGAATGCTCAGGGCCTTTCCTGAGTCGTATAAGTCGCCTTTCAGTGATGCAAATATTTGAGTTCAGATGTTTATTTGTTGTTGTTTTTTTAAATTGTTTTTTTAACAACTGAAATACCCACCAACCAACACCAGGAGGAAATTGAATTCTCCTCCTGAGCACAGTTGGAAGCAGAGTTGCTGAAGCCAGGTTTGCTGCCCGCTCCTCTGCAGCACCGCCGCTCCCCCGCCCCTGGGGAGGTCAGGCTGACGTGAGGATTTTCATGCTGGAGAGGCGGTGGGAGCAGCAGCAGCAGAGCTCTGAAGGTGCGAGAGTGATAAAAACAGGGACTGTCTTTGTCACGCCCCTGTTGCCTGCATTATTTATGAGGAATTGTAAAGCTGATGTAAGGGAGTGCCGCTGCACAACCCACTGGAGAGTTGGGGCTCTCTTGTAAATGTCAGACAAGTCTTATTGGACATGACATTCGGAAAATTATCACTTGTGGTCTTGCATATCCACTCTTAAATACTTTACTGAAAATTAAATAATATTATCATGTATATAACACTTTATCCTTCACCCTCTGTAATTCCTCTGTGCTCTCTATCAAGTTTTGGTTTGAAACTGTTGCAAGCTGTCAGACTTGCTGCCTGGGGAATTGCACGGTTGTGCCCCTTCACAGCTGATGTGCAAAATAAAATTTGCCATTACTTGAGTCAAACACGAACCAGTAACAGCATCTCACATAAAACACAAAATGTGACAACGGACATCAGATGTCTGTACTGAGAGGAAAAAGCACAAGATGCAGAAAGGGGCAACAGCCAATTTCCTTCCTTTATTCTTGCTTCTGCATGCTGCTGACTGAAATTCTCAAGGGTATGATGCAAAAGAAATGTGGTTGTGGAGTGCTAGAAGGATGAACAGCGTTTCAGAGCTGGTTGTTATCCCACAATACCTTATATATCAAAGGCTGAGGGTAAATCTTAAACCACTGCAAGTGTGTTGGAAGTGGATTTTGTTAGTGCTCCAGAGGAAGAACGTGCTCAGTGTGTAGCACAGGAAGAAGCAATGAGAAGTCGGGGACCAATAATTGGAAGTAGTGCAATTTTGGGAAGCACTGGAGGAGGCTGTGGTACTTTGCAGGATGTGCACAGCTGCAGTGTGGTCCTGAAATGGAGACGTTGAAGGTGCGTCATGTTTAGCCTTCACTGCAGCGTATGACTGGTTGTTTATCCTGTAATAAGTTACTGGGGAGGAAGAGTGAAGTGTTGGAAATAACCATTCCTGTGCTGCATTGCTTCTTACTCATGCATCATCTTTATGATTATTTTATCTGAGAGTCGTCAGCACCCAGAGGTCCATAGAATCTGGACTCGGCTATGCTTGACGCTGCATAAATGCACATAAAAACTGTCTCTTTCCAAACCCACGTCTGTCTTGATCAGCAGAGTCTTTGCATCTCACTGGAGATACTTTGGTTAATTTAATATTCCTATTATGCATGAAAAGGAATATATTATCCCACCTGATCATGGAAGAAATACGGATACTTTATTGATGCTATGGCCATCTTCTCAGAAGAGGAAACACATTTCTCTGTTGTTAATAGACTGTATGATAATGAATGTTTATGAGGTTGGGTTTTTTTTAATGATCTTTTGTTACTTAAGGCAAAATATTTGAGACATTTGTTGTTTTGAGGCATTAAATATGTTTTGCAAGGTAATTAAGGAGATTAATGCTGATTATAATTGGTGTCCATTCAAAAATGTCAAACCTATTTAAGCGTATTTTTCGTAATAGTTGTTAATTAGTGAACTGCATCGAAGTTTGCATACAGAGAGGAGTTAAAGCTAATCAGAGAAAAAGTCTGTTGCAGATCTGGGAGACGTGAGCAACCGGCGCTGATGAACGCGAGTCCAGGAACAAGTCAGATGTGTTGCTTTTTCACTGATCTTTTATTTATTTCCTTCCCCAGTATTTTAAGAAGCAGAAACGGTTAATCCCAGAAAGGACGGTGTGGAAATATTTTGTGCAGCTATGCAGTGCGGTTGAACACATGCACTCCCGCAGGGTGATGCACAGAGGTAACATTAATTCAGTCTCTTTTCACTGAATAATAATATAATGTTCCAATTAGTAAGCGCCTACATTCAAAAACAATTATGCTGATGTTCAGCCAATGCATGTTTAGAGAGGCTGGAGCTTGCAAGATGGATTTCTCCTCCTGTCTTTTTGCCTCATTGTTAAAGGATTCAGTCCGAAGTGAGTGTGCTATTAGGAAGATGAGCTGCTTTGTATTCCAGACACCGATATTGAGTAGAAGTGTCAAACATGCCATTAGAAAAGTGTCAGAAGTAAAATGCTGAGACTACTGGATACAGTGAGCTCCCTAAGAATAGGCTTCATTATATGAGTTGTGACCTCAGAGAGTTTAGGAGAGTTTTCCTCTCCTGCAAGATTTTCTCAAGTATTGATACAAATACATCCCACGCTCTGATTGCCTGTTCTCTATTTCTGTTAATTATTTTGAATCTCTTGTCTTAGAACTTTTTGCTTTGAACTTCACAAAAAATCGCATTGCTGCTTTAGTGTAACTAAAATGCTTAGTGAAGGACCTCACCCAAGAGGTGCAGGTATGCAAAAGGCACGAATACCAGCCTCGGCTGCTTCTGCCGTTTCTTTCCTTCTTGGAAGCAGTGAACTCTTAACCAGTTTTTTCAGCTGTGTGATGTCATTTTTGCTCTTTTTCCACCCCTCGTGTCGCTGGTCCGTACCTGAATTACTTGTACCGTAGGTAACAGAAATGTGGGATCCTGTGCATTTGGTCTTCTCTAACTGTGAGAAAAAGCCTCCCTAACCTTCAGCCTGATGTGAGACTTCTTGGGAAACCAGGGTTCTGGTGACTTTTTACAGCATACAAGCAGCATGGGCTGTACGGAGCCCAGAATTTAAGTGTAGTAGGACAGTAATGTGTGGGTGGTGGGCAGTTTCATGCAGAAAATTGTTTGCTTCCTTTGGGGAACAACTCAGCGTTGCTTTGATTGATTACATCCGTTAAAGAGGTTGCTGCTGTGTGATGCTATTTCCAATCACTTTTCCTCACTGGTATTTTTTGTGCGTTGAGAAGTATGCTCTGTTGTGTGTGCACGGAACCTGAAGTTGTAAAAGACTCAGCCTATCAAAGCTGCAAGGAAACACAGTTCTGTTCGAGTCTGTCCTGTACAGGCAATGCTCCAGGCTATGCTTCTATTGCAGTATTAGAACCAAATAACCTTTTGTGGCTTTGACCTTCTACCTTTTTCTTCTTGCAGACATAAAACCAGCCAACGTGTTTATAACAGCCACAGGGGTGGTGAAGCTGGGAGATCTTGGATTAGGCCGGTTTTTTAGTTCTAAAACCACTGCAGCACATTCCTTAGGTAAGATGATTCTTCTCATCAGTAAGCAAGTACTACTGTACAGTTGTCAACTGTGATGTTCAAAGGAAGTGGTGTCTACTGTCCTGTAATGACAGCTTTGGTTTTGGGAGCACATACATTGTTTTCTCCTATTTCCTTTTTGAATAGTCTTGAAACAGATGGAGTATTCCTATAAAAATTCTTACTGTTTTTTTTGCTTTAAAACTTGCATTTGATGGTTTTGTTGTTTTGTTGTTGTTTTTTTTCCTGGAATGTCTGGCCTGTTAAAGGTGTGATTTATAGCAAATGTAACAATTGCAGCTTTTCCACCCTAAATAGCTGCCTGTACTCTGCCTACTAGAATTAGATGTTGCACCACCACTGTTTTTTGGCAGATGCTGCTCAGCTGTCTTCCCCTGAGCAAGGACTGTGATGCTGTCTGAGGTGAGGGAGGTATTTAAAGCCCTCACAGCTTGTCTGTTCCAAAGAGGGACTTCACTTTGAAATTCAGCTTCAGTTTAATAGATCCAAGTTTTCTTAATGCCTTCCATGTATCTGAAGGTTGTTTTCCTGCTCTGCTGTGTGTGCAGCTTTGTTTCTGCCGAAGCATAGTTTGCTTTCTCTACTTTCATTCTTGCTGAATCGTATGCTGCTTTCAGACTCTGATACTTATCTCTCTGAAATTTTATTCTATGCTGTGCTATGCTTCAGTTCATTTCAGGTTCTTGTTATCCACAAGGACAGCAGCATTCCCACAGTTAGTGGATATATTCAGCAGAAGTTGGGCTGCCCGGTGTCTTGCAGGACATCACTGGAGGTAGCCTTCTGTTACAGTGGTGAACTGTTTTCTGACCAGATTTACATTTTTGAAGTGGTTTATTTCAGGCAGACTTCAGAGTTTGCTTATAAGCAAAGTTCATGTTGATGTAAAAGGTTGTAAGATATCTGTTGCTTATCTTTCCCTCCCTCAGAAGCCCACGGCCTTGTCATGGAATCAGAGTGATAGCAAGTTTTCTGGACAAGTCAATGGGAAAAAGCAAAAACAATTGTGAACAATATACATACCGTGTTTAAGTAACAGTGTTTCCTTCCCATCTGTTTGCAGAGAAGTAACTTCTTCCACCATTTTAAAATTACAATTCCAATAAGATTTCTAGAAAGTTAGCTGTCCATAAAGCTGGCAAAGCAAACTGATTTCTTACACAAATGAACCTCCGTGCCTGTTCTTACAGGAGAAAGTAAAAGCTCTAGGAAACCAGAATGGCCGTGTGCTTTTTCTCCCATCCTGAAGAGAATTCTTAAAAAACATCTTATGTTTCATGTTTTGTTCTGTCTACAAGTCGAAGTGCTTAGGACAAATCCTTTCCTTCAAGGAGAATGTGTTTCAGTGTGAATCAAGTGATAAATAGTGATCGTTTGTTAACGTGAAGGAACTATGTGGAAACTGCTTCATAAAAATTTTATTATTAGCATTAATTACAGAGCTGTGGAAAAGTGTACAGTATACAGAGTTCATTCTTCGGCTTAGAGTATAAAATCTTTCATAGTTGTTAGTTGTGCCCTAAGTGCCTGCAGAGGAGAGGTGGCTCGTTTCCCGTTTGTGTTGACGTGTCTGTTGAGTCATGCCTGCTGTGCTCAGCAGAGGAGGGCCCTTGCTTCTCAGCACAGTCAGAGCTCCCACATGTAGGGCGCTCTGTTGATTTTTGGAACACAGAACTTCTTTGTTTCCCTGTTTGTCCTCACCCATTCGATTTCCTCCATTGATGCAACTCTTGCTCTGTTGTTTGTTTATATGAATGCAAACTTAGTTGACTGTTGACACTGGGGCTTCTCAACGCACGAAGAAGGAAGATGTATGCCTTATTTTGTGTGCTTAGAAGAAGTTTAGTCATTTCTCCAGTTAACTTTCATAAAAGGCTAGATTTCCTTTTGCATCAGCTTACCCTAGGATACATGCATTAGACTCACTAGGTTAAAATGAATCCTCTTCACGGAAAGTTATAAACCTCATCATTTGAACAGGCAAAAATGGGACTGTCTAATTACATGATGTTATCTAGTCTGACTGCTGTGCTTACTACATTAATAAGAATAAATTGGGGCCAGGAAGCCATGTGCAGCCAGCTTCCCGGCCTGTGGCCATCACCAGGACTGCTCTGCGCTGTTGAGAGCTCCTTAGGAGGAGATGGGAAGAGATGGGAAGATTGGGCCTCCGCTTCCCCTCCTCGCCATCTGCATCCTGGGTGGGTGCAGAGCATTGCTGGGCAGCAGGGAGCAGATTTGGAGGCAGCGTGTGCTGTGTGGGGATGGGCAGACTGCCGCCCTCCGTCCTTCAAGTGAAAGGAGCGTGTTTGCAGGCAGAGAAGGTACTGCATGCTCGAAGCTGTGTTTATTTGTTTATCATCCATTTGCCAGGCACATAGGCTGTGTGGCAGCAGGAAAGTCTGATCCTAGTTTTGGCACGATGAGGACGTTTGTGGCAGTAGCCGTGAGGGATGGAGCACAGGCCGGGCTGAGTCGGGCGCTCAGAGCAGCCCCGTTGCCCCGGCAACCGGCCTGGGCCTCTGCTGGCTGCTGACCCATGAATCCAGCGCAGGGCTGTGCGGATGGAGCCATGCATTTCTCTCTCCCTTGCATTTGCCAATACCGGCCTGCATGAAGGGGTGTTTGGCCACTCCATGACCCGTCTGACAGGTGAACCACCGGGCCACCGTGCTGGGGATGGGAGCTGTAATTAGAGCACGGAGCAGAATGAATGTCAGATGAATTACCAGGCAGCAGATCATATTTGTCAGGAAGGATTGCGTACATAAAAATTAAGTGACAGTACATGCCGGGGTAATGAGAGAAAAATGAAAGATTTGCCCGTACACGGCTCAGGAAAGGCTGGCGAGCCCTGTGTGTTGAGGGATGGCTGCTCTGGGAGCTGGGCACCTCCTGCCCACAGCCGCTCCTTCTGCTGCATCCCATCTTGTTCCCCCCCCTGCCCAGCACTGTGTCCCCAGAGCAGCCTGTGGCCCTGCAGGCAGCGCCTGGTCCCAGCTGTGCTCCCCAGGCTGCTCTCCGTCCTGATGCTTCAGCACTCCCAGGGCCGGGACGTTCTGCTCTGCGCGGCTGTGTTGGAGGTGCCTGTTTGTGTCTGGTCTTCAATTTGGTGATCCCTGAGACGTGCATCTGGAGGCAGATCTGCTCAGCTACGGCGTGACCAGCAGGCACGTTAGAATCGCCTCGTTGTTATGTTTTGCTCTAAAGCCTAATTACTTAGGAATATTGTAAATGTTACAGTGGTATTATGAATAGGCAGCATTTAACATTGCATGGACTTTGGGAAATTTAACAATAAAAGGAAAGATTTTATTTTAGTAGGAGGATTAATGAATACAATAAATGCAATTTATACGGAAGAGTTCCATTAATTTTAAAATGAACCATTTTACTGTGGAACTGAGTAACGTGCTCATTCTTTTGCCAAATAGAGTTGGCTTATCCAAAGCTTCTGAAGGGCTTTGCATCTTGAAAAGCAAAAACCAGAATAGCCTTGTTTTGGAGCAGATGACTTGTGAATTGTTCTTGGACAAGAAGGAACTCAGAGCGGATTCTCGTTCTGGGACGTGTGTAAGGCAAGCCTTCTGTGGGCTGCATGGGGAGCTGCTCGTCCTCCAGTTCCTTGTTGGATGTGCAGGTGAACGGGGAGCAACTGTGCAGTCATCAGAGGAACTCGTTTGTAAATAGGTTGTTTGTTGGTTTTTTCCTTTATTGTTATTGGCTTGCTGAGCCAGTTTGTCATCTGAAACAGAGTACGAGTACCCTGGGGGAGGGGGAAATTTGAGTGGTTTTTTTTGTTTGTTTTTTTTTGTTTTGTTTTGTTTTTTTGAGAGATAGAGACACACACAAGAAGTCTCCCTTATACTACAACAGACAATATTCCTTGCATCACATCTTGAGAAACTTTGGCTTTTGGATGTGTTCCTGAGGTGCTGTTTGTGTAAGAAACAATTGCTGCAGAGTTACTGCAGGTGTATTGCAGTACCTGCATGTGAGAGGTGTGACTGAAAGTCACCTCAGGTTGTGTCTGTAACTTTAAACAAAAAAATGAAAACAGAGAACTTAAATCATCAGGTCTCCTAGGAAGAGCTGAAATACTATTCAGAAAATGTTCTTTGTCGGAATAAGTAGATTAATTTTTGTTTTCCTTGAGACAATTAGCCTGGGTACCTCACTGCGGTTTGAAGTAATTTAAGGTACATTTCAATGCTTTTGCCTTCAGCTTCGTTTTTGTTTTGCTTGACGTGCTCTGCCAGGGCTTGGGACACAGCCTGCCCATCTCCTGTCAGGCACTCACAGATCTTCAGTGCTTCTGCCACTAAGGCATGGCTGAAGCAGGGGGAGCAGTGGCTGAGATGCTCTTCTGGTTTCCCTGAGCTGAGCTGCTCAGGTTTCGGTTGCTTCTTTTGTTTGTTCGCTTTATAATCCCAGTGTAAAGAGAAGCTGTATCATATCTAGTTTTTGTTATTTAATATTTCTTCAGCAGTCGAAAGAAGCTTATTCTTGACAGCTGAGAACATGGGAAGCTTCGTGTCTTGTCACAGAAGGACTAGGGACAGATGAAGTCTCCTGCAAATAGGACAGAATACAAAAATTAATGCCTGAAAGTTGGTCTGATTCCCAAACCATTCTTTTACAAAAGTATCTGGAAGTATCTCCCAAGTAATGCAAACATTTGGCGACTGATACTTAAAAACCAGACAATTAAAATAATGCTGAGACTTCTTGGGAGCCCATGAGCTTGTTTGGAGAGATGAGGCAGGTGGGAGCAGTGCCCTTGCAAGCAGAACTGCATTATTTACACCGCCAGGTATTAAAACTTACTAAAATATTTTTCCTAATGTCATGGCATGTGTTATAATGTGTCTTGAGTATTAAAGTTAAGCTAGTTGCTCAGAAGATACTGTATTAGTATCTTTAAACTGTTTTTAACAACAGCCTTACTTGTGAATGGCATCAACTGCTTTTGAGCAGTTTTTTGTTTTTTTTTTCATTTGTAATGAACACGTTTCAAAAATCACCAGTACTTCAAACCACGACAAAGTTTGTTTTGACAGGAGCAGAGCATCTCCGAAAGGAAGGAGTGCTTTAATCACCATCACCCCTTTGAGGCCCATGTTGTGCTCTGATATCTCTTGGTTTGAAACTAGGAATACTCTGTAAAGATACATAAAGGTCAGAACTTGTTAGGTTCTTTCATAGGCAGAACTGTGTTGCCTGCTGTGAGAAAGTAAAGCGGTAGGTAGAAAGCAAAACAACTTAGCAGTTGGTTTTGTATTTTTTTAGCCAAATATGGCTGTGGATTTTGATTCGTGTCAGGAGATGCCTATGTCTTATAATGTTGTTTAAGAAGCATAGAGAGCCTGTGAGAAAAGTGGGAAATGTTCTGTGCTGGTTTGGATGTGCTGGCAGCGTGCCTGAGGTGTGGGAGAGCAGTGCTGCGAGAGACCAGGCTGTGCTGTGCTGCGTTCAGTGAGTGAGCCTCTTTGTGAGGGAGCAGCTGAAAAACGTGGGGCAGATTTTCTTATTTTTGCCTGTGGGGAGCATTGATCCCTGGCTAAACTGTGTTTGTGCGGGGGGAAGCTTTGTTTAGAAAATAAAATTTTGTGCGTACAAACTCAGCCGCTGTCACTTTCGCAGCAGAACTCCTCTGATCCTCTGATTCAAGCTGAAGAATGTTTTCAAGATCGTTGAGCAACATCTTCCCTGCGTACTGAGTGCCTTTCTGCATTGGAGGCGATGCAGCTCTGCACCTGGTGTTCCTGGGGCAGGTTTGGGAACTCAGTGCAGGGTATCCATGCTCGGTGGCTGCTGGAGCTGCACCATTATCTGTTTGTTTGGTTCCAACTCTGTGTCGGAGCAAAGCTGTGTGAGTTTTATTTCAGAAATAGCTTCTTTGCCTTTGCCTGTGTGTTTTCCTGGAGAAACAAGAGACTGCTCTTCATCTCACTCAGAATAATTAGCGCTTCCCTCCCTTGGATGTTGCACCGTAGCCATTCTGGTCCTTGTGGGTGTTTTAGCTGCACACACAGTGCTCGGGGGGGTAGGAAGAGATGTTGTTCTGAGATCTTTGAGGCAGGCTGATATTCAAGCAAAGTGCTTTGACTTCCAGGAATAGAATAGGAAGATGCTTGCTTAGTCATAATCTTCTCTATGGCTCTGCAACCTTTGTAACTTTAAAGGCATTACTCTAGCAGCTGGTGATTAATATTGAATCTGAACAATATTCTGTATTTTCAGCTGGGCGAATGCCAAAGAAAGTTTCTGATTAATGGTCTCCGATTAGACTATTCTTGTCAAATTGACTAATGTGATGCAATGGTGAGCCCTGACTGATTGCATTGGAAGTCTTGTGCGGTTTTCTAGAAGATGCTCATTACAGGAGATTCCCACGTAATGTTGGACAGGCCATAAAGAGAATTGGGCTTGTCAGTCTTTTATCATGACGGCTATTTAAAAATTAATGCATCAGTTCTGAAATGCGGAGCCCTGCTTGTTCATATATTTGCTGACAACACTACAGTAATGATAGGTAAATGTGCAAGGTAGACTTCATAAAATCAGATCAGGCACGGACTGCTCCGTAGGCCTATTAATATAATGGAACAGACTAATGCACAAAAAATGAAATCTGGACCATAACGCACTCATCCGTGTTACAAACCCTGTCATTTTGCTTTGATCGAAGGTTGTTTTAAGGCGTTATCTGAAACGACAACTTTAGCCTACCAAGCAGACCCCTGCTAACATGGCAGGCAGGACCGTAACTTTAGAGCCCACACGTTGTTATTTGCTCTGAGCTTGTCACGCAGTGACCCAGAATAACTGATAGCAAGAACAGCTACTGCTGGAGGCCAGCACTGGCACCACGTGCTATAGAGCACGCAGACGTTGGGCAGGGAGAGCTGGAATGGGCTCCATGCTCACTCCTGTGGCTCCGTGCTGCAGCCCTGCTCCTTTGCTTGCTGCTGGTCGTGGCAGGCTCTCTTCCATGTAGGTATCTCTTCCATCTAGTCTTGTAGGCTTCTTTCAGATTTGAGAAGGGAAGAGGCACTGACTTAAAAGTTGGGATGTGACTTATGTGCTTGTGTCTAATGGAGACTTCCAAACCAAGAACTTCATATAACAGATTGCTCTATTTCTAAGGAGGAAAATGAATCAGTGCTCTAACCATGTGCAGTTCCTCTATGCAAATCTGTATGGGTGTCTATCAGTGAAATATCAGTGCCTGTCTCAATGGGCTCGTGGCCCATGTTTCGATCCTGTGGATGATGGGAATGCAGCCAAGTTCTGGACTCTCCTGTTTATTTAATGCAGTGTGCTCTGAGCTCCAGGAGCCTGAGGTGATTTTGCTCGAGTCTCACGCCGATGGCGGCAGCACCCCGTGTTGCTGGGCCCTGTGTGCTCTCTGGGGAGGTTTTGCCTTTCAGGAGCTTTCCACTCCAGAAGTAATTTGTTTCCTTCTGTGTGCAAACCCCTGAGGAAAGCCGGGGAAGGTGGTGCAGCTCTCCCCCCTCTGCCTCCAGCACCGCTGTTCATCTGCTCAGGAATCTTTCAGCTGTCTGCAGTCAGGGCTTTGGGTGAAGAAGTGGCAAACTGAAAGTTACAGGCAAAATAAACATTTGCCATCTTGCGTGAAAGGTCTCTAATTAAGAGATGGATGCTGAAAAAAAAAGAAAAAAAAATTGACAGAGAATGGAAAAGCATGGGAAAGGCGAGAGCATAGAAAGTCCTTGGATGTTTTAATAAATGATGTATCTGAGGTTTATTTGATGTAGTTGAAACTGCCAGGATGTCTTGTATTTTCAGTACCACAACTGAAACTTATTTAGGATTTTAAAAAGAGCCTTTTTGAGGTAAGGGATTTATTAATAATTTCCTGCAAGTCCTGTCCAAAATGCTGTAGTAAATTTCTTGTGATAAAATACAGACTTTTGGAAGTACATGGAAATCCAACAGCTCCTCATGGGACTGGAGCTGGAGCAGCGTTTAAAAGTTTGGAAGTACTCTCGTGGTTCTTCCAGAAAGCTGTACCTGTCCTGTGTCAGGGTTGTCACTGGCACCTCCCTGCTCCAGCCAGTGGTCTCCCAAACTCTTAGCAGGGGCACCTCATCGTCTCGAGCTGGGCTGTCGTGCTGCTACTGCAGGAATGGCAGCGGATGCTCAGTGGTGTGCTGTCCTGGGATCTTGTTGGAGCGCTGTACATCCGTGATGTGTATCTCACTGCTTCCTGTGCCGCTGAGTGAACCAAAGAACTGTCGTTTTATGGTGGCTCTGCCCGTGGGAGACGCAGCGGTGGCTCAGGAGGAAGGAAAGCTTTCTTCAGATTTCTGAAATAGAAAAGATGCTTTCAGCAACGTTCAGCAGTCATCAAGTGTTCATGTGGTTGTATTTTTGGTTCTAGATGAGAATATGCCTTTGAAAGCATGATTTCTTTCCAAAGTCTTGTGCCAGACTTCTCTAATGAGCTGTTTCTGCTAACCCTCATCCTTCAGCTAAGTCACATTTCTGTACAATGCGGGTTGCGCCGTCTCTTTCTTGGATGGTAACTCCTCATCTGTTCCTTTTCTTTGCAGTGGGAACTCCATACTATATGTCCCCAGAAAGAATACATGAAAACGGCTATAACTTTAAATCCGATATCTGGTCTTTGGGCTGTTTGCTGTATGAAGTAAGTATCATCTTTTCCCATTTGTCTTAGCTCACGGTACAGTGAATCAGCAGTTGAGCAGGTCAAAGTTATTTTCTCTTATTTGTTCAGAAACCTTATGAGAAATTAACTCTTCGTGTTCATGGCGTGATTTGTGAGCGTGAACAAGAAGGGAATTGTGGCACGCAGCGCTGGTGCAAAGTGAATGTGCTGGGTCACGGTGGGTGCTGAGGGTATGGCACAAAGAAGCCAGTTTACTGTATTCATTCCTCCCACTGTGAGCAGAGCTGTAATTAGGGCAGCATATTCGTAGTTTCTCCTGAATACCATTTGTTCTACAAACAGAAAATTCATTTGAATGTAAGCCACTGGCTTGTTTAATTGAATTCTGACTAATTGGAATATCTTAACTCTGAGAACTTTCAATAAAGAAAAGCGGAGTTTTTACGTAATGTGAAATCACCGTTTCTGTGCCCTTGTCAGAGCTCAGCTGGGATGTTCCCCCGCTGCAGTCGTCCTGCAGACAAAGGTGGGGTGGCGGAGTGGGCTCTCCTCGATTGAACTGCACGATTTGTAACTCCTTTTCCTAAAAGCCAGCTGGTTTTCTTCACCAGTACATGCATTTTAAAAAGAAGCGCTAGGATTCTGTCACTCTGAGCTTTGTGATTTTGTTTCTAGCAGGAGTCAGAACAACATTGTATCGTTTTAAATGCATGTATCATTTCGGAATTTAAGTGAAGGTGCAAGTCAGCATTTGTGAAGTTTTATCCTGGCCCTGAGGATGAGAAATCCCTGGCATGTTGAATTGTAAAGCTACAGCTCGCGTTGGGAAATAAAGCTCTAAATGTCAGGGTCATGCTTTCCTGAGTTACTTGAAATTGTGTGAACTGATGAGATCTTGTTCCTCATTGCAATTTTGTATAACCGCACGGAATGAGAGAATAAACAGGAATGCAAACTGTTTTGCAAGTGAGCAGCTATGAAGGCAGTGGTAGTTAAGCATGTCATTCAGCTGCTTTAAAAAACTGCCTTTTGGGACGAGAGGGTATAAAGGTAAACGCTCGGATAATAGATCTCTTTCTGGCAGGAGTTCAGTGCTTGTCACTGTTATTTCCTTGTGGGAAGGATGTTTGTCTCAAAGAACAAACTGCTGTTTGTGCACAGCAGCTCCATGGGTGCTGCCTGGTGAGCCGTGCGGCTCTGTGCAGTTGGAGCAGCTCCACGGCGCCCATCGCTGCCATCTCAGCCTGCGCTGTGAGCGCGTGGGGCAGCGCTGCAAAGGTGTTTGTCAGAGGCACTTGGAGAGAAGAGGGAGCTTAACTGTGTGTTTCTGCGCCTGTCCTCAGATTCTTCTGAGCTGTAGAGAAAGAATTCAGGAGTTTGGAAGCTGAAGCAAAAGCGGCAAGCTGTAGAAAAGCTGATGTTTTCAATGGAGGATGGCTTTGTGTGTAACACTTCTGATGAGATACTGGGATGAACTTCTGATGAAAACCAGGGTCATAAAACATAGCTGTGTGTACCTGGGTCTTGTGTAGCCATTTGAAAATGAGTGCAGAGACTCTTTTAAGTGGGAGCAAGGGGAAAGAACCTGAGCTTCAACCAAGTCAGTTACTGTTTTGAAGAATTCCAGCTTTGTGTCATTTATCAGACCTCACCAGGAGTTCCCAGCACAGGGTGTTCAGCTGGGGACGTGGGCTCTGCCACAATGTGTGAGGCTTAACCCAGGCTGCCAACAGAGAAGGGCCCACGTTGGGTACAAGGCATCCCTGAGACTGAGGGCACTGCTGGGGAAGGGACTCCAGATTTATGCAGAGAGAAATATTTAGCGTTGTGCTAAGATATGTTTTTGTTGCAGGCAATATGGTCCCCTTATGGCACGGTAGTCTTAGTACTCTCGTATTTCAAGGAGCTGAGTTAATTGCGTGCTGAACAGTAGCAGTACTGTAATAACGTGAAAGATTTGGCACGCAAAGCATTTTTAAATGTACTTCCTACGTAGGTAAGCCTTTACTTTGTGAGCAGGAGCTCGAGAGCTTGAGTATTCCAAGGACTGGACGGTTCCCAATTTTGTGCTCACCAGATAAGCAGCCACTTGGCTTTTAAAACTTTTTAGATATTTGAAAATGAAAAATCAAGTTCACGTATCTCTGAAAGGGCCTCCCCCCCCCCCGCCCACTAATTTCTTGTAATGAAAATCTTTTTCCATTTGGCTTAAAAGTAAGGAAGCAGCGTTTGTTTGGTTATGAGTCACTTCTGATATTTCTTCAGATCCGTTGTGCAGATAACTGCAGGGGATGCAGTGCACAAATTGCCGTCAGAGCTGTGCGTGTCCGCTGCAATCCCTCACATAACAGTGAGGGTTTGGGCCGCGATGGCAGACAGCACCGCTTAACTTTGACATTGGTAATCGCACAGTGATCGTTATTAAATCTTGTCAATACAGCAGTAAGTCTTCATCCCTCGCTTCCTGTAGAAATCTGTCAGCAAGATCACTTCAGGGAATAAAAATAAGTTGTTAATTCCCAGAATGTAGCTGCAAGCAGTGACTTCAGTGGTTCTGGCAAGGGCATCAATTTAAACACCAACAGTTCTGCATAGGAATTTTTTTAACCAGCCATCCTGCATGGTGGTCATTTCCAATGGAGATCTTGCTGTCCTTCAGTAATTGCTCTAATCAAAATGCCAGAAGCAAGCCCAAACAAAGGCACACACATTGCTGTGCTGCTGGTTGGAGCTGTGTCAGCCAGAACGGGGGGACATCACTTCCCAGCGTAACCCCCTCTCTCTCCACTTCTGTGCAACTGATGGAGCAGTTTGCTGTCAGTCTCTAATTAGCAATTACAACTGTAACAGAAATGTGCCTTCACTTTTTTGCCCTCTATTTTGTGTGGAGGCAGTGGGCAGTGTGGCCCTGGGGCTCAGCTCCTGCCTGCCCTGCTGCTGTGCCACACTTCGTAGTTCCAAGAGCATCGTGTGGTGGCTGTTCTCCTGAAGCTCGGGGTTCGGGGTTCGTTTGGACCTCCAGACCAAGAACCCCAGTGCAGGTGATATTCTGTGCAGACATGCAGTTTCTTTCTGCCATTTCAGTGTTAGACAAGCACCTCTCTGTACTGAGCTGGAAGTTCTTTCTCACCAGTAGCCTTCAGTTGTGCTCTCCGTGCTGTGTGCTCGGTCTGTTTACATCAGACATCTGTTGTGGGTTTGGAGTCACAAATCTGGATTAATAAAATAGAATGTAAAGGGGCTGAAGACGTGGCTGATGAGGAGAAGGTTCTCTGGTTGGGCTCCCAAATCTGCCTGGGACGTTCTATCCTAAGCAGCAAATTTCCAAGAGGAGAGAGTGTTTGTTTTGAGGTCCGTTTTTAAGGCAGAGCTGCATCACTCACATTTATAAGGTTCTTTTTATTCTAGGTAGCCAAATTCAAAATTGATCCACTTATTTCTTGTAGCGGTTGATTAAAAATTTACCAGTGATAGAGAGTAAATGCATTGGCAGTTCTGAACATGGTAGTAACCAAGGAGGGCTGAAACCACAGCATTATCAGGAACAGTAGAGCTGCCCTGTCAGACCGTTCGTATCAGAGGTGTTCGTAGCTGCTGGTGTCTGACGGACTGCCCTGCAGCACAGGCATCCTATTTAATCCTATTCAAATTAAGAGAACGTTTCTTCTGCATACTTGTGGAATTGCCCACTGACAGTGTCCCACATCTGCAGTGTTTTCAGCAGAAATAACCAGTGATGGGGAAGCACGGGGAGCTCGCTGAGTGCCGAGGCCCAGGGATGCGTGCGGTGCGGGGCTTTCAGCAGCTGGGCTGCTGCATGGGCTGGTGGAGCAGCAGCGTTGTTTGCTTGCCATCAGAGAACAGAATTTGCTCTTGCAACCCGTTAGTACTGAGGCTATTGCATCTTTACCGTTTCTGAAATGCTCTCTGTGTTTTTCTCTCCAGATGGCAGCTCTTCAGAGTCCTTTCTATGGAGATAAAATGAACCTGTTTTCTCTTTGCCAAAAAATAGAGCAATGTGACTACCCGCCTCTTCCAGCTGAACATTATTCTGAGAAGGTAAACTGGGAGCATTTGTGCAGGGCAAGTGGAGGGGTGTGGGGAAGAGCCTCCCCATCCCGGCTGCAGGGGTGCAGGAGTGCAGTGCTGCCCTGCAGCTGCCCGGGGAGCTGCTGAGCCTCTGAATATCAGCGCGCTGAAGTGAGGCAGAAAGGAAGATTTCTTAATGTGCTTTCTTAACATGGAGAGGATTTTGAGACTGAAAGTCTGTTACGTTGGCAAAAACCAACAATGAACCGTGGGAAAGCCCTCTCCTTTGCCTCCCTTTGCTTAAAATAACATACCGTGAAACCATGCTTAAATTCTTGTTCCTGTAGTCTTCTGCTTGCTACAGGGAGTCGTTTTTGTTTCTTTTTATTTTTTTTAAATGGGGAGAGGAGGAAAACAGTTTAATAATAAGGTAATCATCAATAAACCAAGCTGCATAAGGGGGATTTTTGAAGTCTGGGTTCAATGTATACAACAGCGAAGGATGGAGAGCAGTAGCTGAACTGTATTTTAAGAAGCTGTGTTTAAAAAAACAAAATTGCAGCTATGCATTGCTTGCTCTGTGAGGTTGCACTTGGGCTGCACATGGTGGTTGTTTTTATGCAAGGCCTCTTGAGCTGGTTTTTTCTTGACCTTTTTTTTTCCATGCTAAACCAGCTGTTTTTCTTACTTTCTCATTCAGTCGTTGGTGTCTCCTGTTGGAAAGGAAAAGGTTAACGTAATTGTAGATGTTGTTTTATGTTTTAAACTGTAGGCTGTGCAGGGCTGAGCTGCTGGGGCTGCAGTCTGCCTGCACCACACTGAGCTTCCCAGCTCCGACCCTGGGCGCTCACAGCGTGCTGCTGCCCCGTCCTCTGGGCCGCCGCACAGTTTATGTTCATTCTCTCCTGCTAAGGAACTCTTGCAAAAAGATAATTGAAGAAGTGTTGTGGAAAAGTGGATTATTTTTTCCCAAGCTGCTGTAGCAGCACGTCCCGGCTCTGTGCATTCACGTTTGCCGTGCTGCTGTAGTGTGCAGCTCAGGATCTGCCTGCTGGCAGCAAGAATTAGTGTAAGTTGACAGATGTGTTTCCTGTCTTTACAATTACTGTCTGTTTGCTTCCCTCTGGCAGTGCTAAAGAGTGTGTGTAGTGTAGTGATACAATCCGGGGTGAGAAGGATGGTTTAAAGCTCAAAGGCGCCAGGTCCCAGAGAACCAGACTCCAGATGGTGTTCATGCACTATTAACAGAATGCCTGACGAAGTCTGAGAGGGCTGTGCCTTTGGCTGTAGCTCTATGAGCTGCTGCTGCCTACATGAACCACAAAGAGCTCTGATTTCCTGAGTCTTGAACATGTCTCTGCCATGAACGCTGTTTGTTTTTTGCCGGTTTTAAAGGTTAGATTTTCAGATGCTTCTTGAGTACGGAACTGAAGGAGAGGTGGGTTGGTGTCTTCCAGCAGCTGAGCAGGGTGAGCCATTGGGTGGGAGCCCTCGTGCTGCAGGGCTCGGAAAAAAGCGTGGCAGCGCCTTCCTGCAGCAAAGTTGCACCAGCAGGAGTCAGTGCTGCCAGGAGGTTGGCTGCTCCCATGTGGACGTGTTCATTTTCCTGAGGCTGATGGGGCAGATTCTCTGGGCCACTCCAGTATTGCCACTGGTGCAGGATTGGGAGTGGTGAGGGGCAGCTGCCTCTCCATGCTCTTCCCGGGGCAGAGATGAGCATCAGCCAAATGAAGCTAGCAGAGTGCTTGGTGACGTGCCCCCAAACAAAGCCCTGCTGCAGGGGAGCTGCTGACCCTCGGGATGCTTTGCTTGCAGCACTGTTGTGAATGAACGGGACGAAGCATTAATTGAGGAATGCCCGCCTTTCAGTGATGGCCTCCTGGCTGTGGCCTTTTCTCCAGTCTGGATCTCATGATGGTCTGGAGGAGCTGAGACTGATTGGTTTTGTGTCTCAGAAACAAATGCGCTGGTAATTGTTGGCACCAGTTGGGGCTGCACGTCAAGGTCGGGTCTGGCAGTTCCTGCTGGGACGGCTTCAGGCCCGCGGCGACCCAGCGCTCGGGAGGCAGAGCTGTGGCCTCATTTGGGTACATTCAGTAATGCAGCTGAACTGTGTGCTTGATAGCTGTAGGGTCATGCTTTTAATTACCATTAAAATAATTGGCACTGTGGCTACTGAGAGGATGTGAGAAGATCAGAGGCTCAAGGCTGTTTCTCCCTATGCCTCGGGGGTACGAGCAGCTTTCAGTGTCTGTATAATTAAAAGCTACAATCTTTCATGTGCACAATAAAGAGGGTAGGGAGGTGGGGGGTACTTCAGCCCTTCTGCATTTTATTTATTAAACATAATCAATGACCAGTCTCTCCTTCACAGAGGTTCTCTAGGAAACACCGGGGTCTGACAGCCGCACTCGGGCATCCTGTGTCTTAAGATGTGTGTGCAGATTAACTGTGATCCTTCCTCAGAGGTGGGGTGCAGCATCAGCCTCAACAGCTGCACCATGAGCTCCCTGCTCCCACCTGGGGGAGCCCCACACCCGCTGCCAGTAAGGAACAAGCTGATCCATTTCTGTTCCAATGTCTTTCTGTCTTTCAGCTCCGGGAGCTGGTCAGCATGTGCATATATCCTGATCCAGATCAAAGACCCGACATTGGTTACGTGCACCAAATAGCGAAACAAATGCACGTTTGGACCTCCAGCACCTGAACCATCTGCAGACACTCTCAAAAGCCAGCACAGCTTAGTCTTACTTGAATTTTTTTTCTCAGATGAAACCGACTGGTGCCTAGTCAGCAAGCGAGGGGAGCACTCGTAGCAGGATGCTCCATTATTTCTGCAGGTTATTTGACAAGGACTCTTACAAGGTGGTCATGCTTTAAAGTGAAGATTCTGTGAGGTATTGCAAGTGATTTTTTTTTTTAAGCCAATAAGATGTTACAGGTGTAGATCATTTAAGGGTCTTTTCTTAAACTGTCGTGTGTAATCTAGGATAGATGATATTAACCGGGGTGTCAGCGTTGGGCACTCCTCCTCTATCTTAACTGTAATGTGAAATATTGAAATAATTCCTTCAGTGAAATCACTTTATACTAATGTAAGAATTACAGTAGGTTTTGTGTCGTTTGTATAACTGCTACTTCGCCTCTTCTGCAAATGGTTTATAGCAAATTTCAGTTTTTACTTTGTGTATTTTAAAGCAGCCATTTATGTATTTTTATTAATTCCCTCCTTCAGATTTAGAATGGGGAGCGGTTTGGGGGGTGGGAGGGGGTAAAAATGCATTTATTTCATGACTTTTTTTTTTTTTTTTTTTTAACTGAAAACTTAGAGTCTTTTGCTGATGCATTTAGCTGTTAACTCAGCCACTGAACTGAATTCAGTGTACAGCTGGGGAAGAAAACCCACAAATCCTGTGCAAACCACTCCACAGAAACGTGCTTCAGCAGGGCCTTTGTGAGCACCTGACTGTCACGACTTGAGACTGCAGGTTGCTATAAAAGCAGTGTTTCTCTGCCCCAGCTGGATTTTTGGGAAGATGCTTGTACACGTGCAGTAGTGTGTTAGGTACCAGTAGGCAGAACTTTACACAAAGCAGTGTTTGAAACTCTTTGAGACATACAGAAACCAAGTCAGTCCAACGCTCTGCGTGGCCAATTCCACACCAGGATCAGCCCCGTCTACTTAACTGTGAAAGCTGATTTAGAATGTGAATTTTTATAAAAATCTCAAGCTGATTAGAGGGGGTCATCTTCTTAAATTAAAACTTTAAACCAACTAAATTCATTCATTGAATCAATGATTTGTTTCGTTACTGCCGATGGAAAACATTGCCTGCTTCAGGAGCAGCCCTGGGCAGTGTTTGCAGCGCGAGCCGGGGAGCAGAGCAGCTGCTGCAGTGTGGGAGCAGCTCTGCTGCGCTGATGCTGAGCTGCAGGCTGGGTGCTGCAGTCCCAGTGCAGCCTCTGCCTCTTTTGGTTTTCTTCAAGAAATGAATGCAAGCCTGAACTTTTTTTTTTTTCAGTAAGATTAGGGTTAGAGGGTTATTTACTCATATATGCTTTTAGTGGATTTTTTAACTTGATTTTTTCTACTTAAAGGAAAATTGCAGTGCCATCTTCAACTACTTTCCACCAAATTTTGCATATTTTTATAGGGTAGCAAGGAGAACTACTAATTGCTGTGAACTATGTTGGTATCATTAATGCAAGGTGCCATTTTATCGTGGCTTCTTAGCAGGAAGCTGAGTCTGCTGCTCTCCTGAGAGCCTGAGGAAATTCAAATCAGCACGAGAATGGAGGAGAGGCAGCACGTTGCTTCCCACATTCCCATGCCAACTTGTTTAATTTATAGCCATCTTCTTTAGCAGTTCTTAGGCATAAGTCTTCAGACTGTCACCTTTACACTGCAGGTTTCCTTTAAGCCATGGCAGTGGGCCGGGCCGGCTGTGCTGTGCTGCTGGTAGTGGAGGTGGACCAGCAGAGGGGCACAGCTCAAGCTGCAGTGCCTCGAGCGCTCCGCTGTCGTGCTAGATAAAATTTATTAGTGCCTATAAGTAAATGTATTTCAAAAGGTAATTTTTTTTGCAATTGTGCATTTTTAGATAAATAAAAAAAAATGATTTACAAAATAAACACCTTTGTTTAAAAAAGAAAAAAAGGTTCAGTATTAAAGGGGAGAACATTAAAGCATCGCTGCAAACAGGTGTGTGAGGTTTGCTAACAGCTTGGTGGCTGTGCAGGTTCTGGGTGGACGGCAGCTGCCAGCACTGGTCCTGATGGAAACCTCACCAGGGAACAGCGCAGCTGCAGGCTGCTGGGACGGAGGGCTGCACCACACAACCTTCTGAGGCTGAACGTAGCCTCAGCCCAACCCTTCTTAGGATGTAAATGTAAAACACGAAATGAGTTTATCTCAAATAGGAGAACGAGCTCAGGGTTCTGGGATGCGGCCAAGTGGAAATTTGCAGAAAACTTCAGGTAAGTAAAAGATGGTTAAGGCTTCAGTTGTGTTTTTTTTATAGTACTTAGAACATTTTATGTGAGGTGGAGGCCGGATCTGCTCAGTAGCTTGTCCCCATCTACAGAAAACAGGGAAGAAGGGATGTAAACATCACAATACTGCTCTTAATACTCCGTGATAATTAAAGTAGGAGCAGTTCTGCACGAGCCCCATGTTTGTAACAGATAAGAATAGAAAAGCAGTAAAAGAAATGAGCACCCCACAAAACACTGGTGAAGAGAATGGTCTGACCCCTCTTTATTTATTCTGTGTGAGTCGCATGTTTCTCTCCAGGCAGGAAGGCTTCCCAAAGTGAAACACACCTCGTGTGTGTCCTCAGTGACACAGCAGCTGCACGTGATGCTCAGGAAGTATCCATGGTTTGTACAGTTTCATCCACCACCTCAATTTCCAGGTGTGCTACGTTCTCTGTGAGAACAGCAGTAGTTCCTCTCTCACACTTGTATCTGCCATACCTGGTAAATGAAAGCAGGAGGGTTAATCTGGGAGATGGTAATGCCTAGGAAAACTCATCTGAAAGGCCAGAACTGATTAGCTGGTCATGGTATGGAAGTTTCTTGCAGTAGTCTAAAGCGAGTGAGGCACAGTGGTTGCTGCAAAATCTAAACTGCTGGCAACAACTGCCTCAGCTAACCTAGCATTTCTAAGACTTGCATCATTAAAGAAATAAGCTGGATTTCATTATTGGACTGGCTGTTCCTTGCTCAAAGAAAAAGCATATTTAATTCTTTTCAGCTCTAGATTGATTTTACTAATGTATTAACTTTGGGTTTCTGTGCAAACACAGCATTAAACACAAAGCCAGCCTGCAACCAAGGCACGTTTCAGGAATGTTGCTGCATCTGACTTAGCATTGCAAGGCACAGCGAAGCCGTATCTGGCTGTGAAGGTGTAACACACTCTCCTGGCAGCCAGGAGTGGTAAGCCTCTGCTCAGCCCCAGATGTGAAACTTCACTCTCAAACTGCCTGAAATTCCAAAGGCAGTTTCTCAACACAGTGGAGTTGACAGGCAATTAATTTCTTTCACTTACCTGTAGATGCCACTAAGCCTCTACTCACCTGCCAACTGCAGCCACTAATTTTATTTTCTTCATTAGCTGAAGTTCAGCACACCCATGGAGCGTCTGCTGACTGCCCAAATTCAGCATTATGGGAAACAGGAACTGCTGGGAGCAGCCTTGGATAATGCACAGTTCAGAAATACCAACCTTTCGCCTTTTCTGTTGGCCACGTCATACGGACGGATGAAATCCAACTTGTTCTTGCTTATAACACAGATATCTATGTTACTGCCAGAGCCCAGATCATTGTATATGCCAGCTGCAATGGCATCCCTCACAAGCTGTTTGGCTTCTTCTTCCTGGACAAGTTAAGAAAGCTGTCATTGCACAAGTGTTGGCATTTCTCAGAAATGTTTGTCCATGTGACAGTGGAAGCTGTGAGCTCTCACAACAGTAAATGAGCTAAGCACTACAGAGCTGAACAACAGCACACTGAGCAGTGGGCTGCCTTCCTCCTGCTCACCACCCACCTCTTTCCCCCTTTACAACAGACACTTCCAATTTAGTAAAGACAGTCAAGGAAACAGGGTTTTTGTCTCAATTAATGGAGAAATTAAACGTGTGGGTTTTATCATCAGGGCTTCTGCACACATGTACAGGTTCCCTGTTGTGCCCCCTGTCACAGCTGCACACAAGGTAAAGCCCCATACAGTTCAGTTACTGCCTTCCCCAGGTAGGGACAACTCGATCCTTTGCAGTACTAAAATTACTTACATGATTTTGGAATATAGCACGGTTTGCACAATACATTCTGCTCACCTTAACAGTAACTGTGCTGCAGGCAGCCTAGCTCCAGACTGAACTGCAGCCAGTAGTTCTAATTCCAGTCCTGAACACAAGTGCAGTGAATTTAGAGGCAGGTGCTGACTGAACCACACACAAAAGCTCCAAGATTCCCATTCTAACAGGTTTGTATCAGCTGCTTTCTTGTAAAAGTGCAACCACACAGCAGCTGAAATGCATTCTGGTGGGTTACCATTCTTGGTTTTCACGGTTTAGGAGCTGTCTACGTAGTCTGAAACAGGACAGCACGTCCTGTTAGACAAACAGTCACATCCAGGTTAATGTCTTTTACAGAGAAGTATTTCAGAAACATCAAAACTGAGTTACAGTGTTGCAGAAGAGCTGTGGTCACTCTCCTGTCCCCAAAGGCCTCAGCCAAGTTCTAATGCTCCCCATAAGCTCTTTCCTGGCCCAGGCTGTTCCAGCTGCACTGGCTCCCTCTACAGCTCCCAAGGAGGGCTTTTCATTTCAAAAGCAACTTGCTGAAAGTCACAGGTCAGATGCAGCAGTATTTGAAATCGCCTGACAGCGCTATTACACCCTTAATTTTACACTATAAGCGATGACTGCGAGCACAGGGGAATGCTGCAAAACTACCTTCCTATGGCATCTATTCAGCTGCCACAAAAGTGCTGTGCAGCCACACGAAGGCAGCCCACCCCATCAGAGCACCAGCAGCTCGGTGCCCAGCAGCAGCCCAGGGCATGGGGCTGGGGGCTCAGGGCCTGGCTGTGCCTCCATCCCGTGCTGCAGCCCCACTCCCCTCAGCAGCTCCTGAGCACCAGAACACAGCACACTCACTGCCTCCAGCGCAGCTTCTCTCCTGCACACATAAGGGACACGCTGGCAGGCCACATGCAGACATGGCAGCAGCGAGGCTGAATGCAGCCCACGAGCACGGAGCTCTGCTCCCAGCTTTATCCCATCACCTCCCACCTAACCCTAACCCACCATCCCAGTCATCATCCGCCCTCAGCGCAGAGCAGCACAGCAGCTGCCCCCACTCACCTTGACCAACCCAGCTCCTCCATCTGCCTCGTGTTAAAGGCCTCAGCTCCGTGCACAGAGCAGCAGTGTCAGGGCACCGAGCCACAGGGCGCCCAGCAGCAGCACCCGGCTCAGCCTCAGCACCAAGCACTGCCAGCACATACCCACATTCTGTACCGGCTGCTATGCAAGAATGTTAATAGCAGCAGTGCTCCTCTGACAGCTTAATTAAGGTACTGGCTGGCAGTGAGGCTTCTCTGCAAAGCTACAGAAATAGCATCCATTTCTACCAGCCCTGCTCTTCAAACACCAACAACCTCCACCACCAGACTGCACTTCCAGCCGAGACAACCAGCCATGCTGGAGAAGCTGCTCCTGCAGGACAGCTCTGTGCACAACGCCGTCCTGCAGCCGCAGAGCTGCTCAGTGCTTTGGTGCCACAGCACAGGCACACGCAGCAAAGAGCTCCATGCGGCGAGGTGGCTGCAAATTCATTTTTAAAATGAACCCATGGCAGAGCCAAAATTACTCTGTCCCATTCTACGAGCTTAGTGTAAGAGAAGCACCACAGCAAAAGCACAGCACAGGAAAAGCACAGCAGGCTGGTGGGTGCTTCGTCCCCCTTGAATTCAATCTTTTCTTAGAGCAACGTGAAAATCTTGCAGTGTCATCTCGCCACATTTTTTTCTCCTTTTTAGAACGTGCTGTCAGCCTGCTGCTATCAAAATAGTTCCAAAGCTGCAGTCGCCACAGCTCAGCTGTCCCCTCACTGCAGCCCTGCTGCGCTGCGGAGCACAGCCCAAAATGTCACCTCAGCTCTTTGATCTGATGGAGTGCTGCCCAGCTCGTGAACCCAGAGTAATTTTAGTTATAGAAAACCCTGCCACAGAGCTGTTTGCTTTTCCTCCCCTTTCCATAATTTAGAAAG